CCCAGCACATGTTTCTAACACAATATACAATTCCATGAATCCATTCGACTCCCAATTTGTGTCACTTCATAAAGAATGCATCTGCTAAATAAACATTCAAAGCTAGAACATGTCTCAAAGTCTTACCAGTTTAAATTGTGTCTTATTACTAGGCCCACACGGAATCTGCGTGCGCAGATATCCATGGATTTTTCGCCCATCATTGAGTCTATCTATTTAGTTTATATGATTTATGTGTAAAGTAATATTTTTGGTCTTGTAGTAGATATATTATACTAAAAAGACTTGCTTTGTTTACCAGATAAATGGATCTAATTGCATTTGCTTTGTAAACATTAAAGTTAAAAAGCTATTATTATTTATTATATATATATACAGTTTTTAGTTGTGATACTTCTAAAATCATTCCGCATAAATCCACAGATTTTTTTTACAAAGTTCTCCACAGAAAATGTCCACAAATTCTGTCTGGCCCATACTCATTCAAGAGTTCCCACTTAGATATGCTTGGCATTAAAAGAAGGTTTGGCATGCTGTCCCAGGAGAGAACCCTGAGCTCGGATATAATTGAGGCCAAGGCTCCCGCCTGGTCAGTAAGCATATAAGGGGGTCCGAGATCAGGTAGGTCTCGAGAGCTCCCCTTAGAAAAGGGAGGAAAAGGAGGAGATGAGGTGGGATGTGGGATTCTCCCAAATGAAGATATGGAAAAATCATTCTATTTATTGTAAGCTTGGATCAATCTGATTGGATTATTGCTGATTATAGATGAGCAGCCAGTCATGCCAAAGACTATAGAATACACAAGACATATCACTCGTATTCAGTCAATATGGCAAATGAAGCCCCACCTACTAGTACAGGGGCCAATGAGCGATCACTTTATGGCAAATAAAGCCCGCCTTCTAGTACAGGAGCCAATCAACGATCACTATAGAATGACAATTCTCTGGGGGAGGGGCTCGGACCAGACTTGAGTTTTTGCGGATTTTGTGTGATACGAGCATTTAGAAATGAAGAGACAGTTGTTGTTCAATTTTATTTGGTTATTCGTAATATGGAGTTCAATTGTAAGCTTGGTTAGTCGTTTTGGAGAATTTGATGTTTCTCCATTCAAACAGAATGCTAGGGCATACTGCCCAAGGGGCATTTCAAAGATGGCTGCGGAGTGAAATGACTTGCATTAAAGAGACTTTGGTCATGCTTAATCATGTAATGTGCTCCTCTCGAAATTAGTTTATGAAACGTCACTTATTACAGACGATTATTCATCACGTTTATATATTCATCGAATGAATTAATCCATTCATTGATTTTCATTCAGCTTAGTCTCTTATTTATCAGGGGTCGCCACAGTGGAATGAACCACTAACTATTCTGGCATTTATTTTATGCAGCTGGTTTATCGATTAAATGTTAGGTGATAATCTTGCTGCATGAATCATTTCTCTCTCTCTCTTTACAAAACCCACATCTTACTATCTCAAAATGTCTTGCATTGTGTTTCCTATTTGCATATCACATCATAATCTGCTAAATAAACATTCATTTACCATCAGAATCACTTTTTTTGTTACTTTTGAGCAAAAATTCAAAGCTAGAGCATCTCTCAAAGTCTCTCCATACTAACTTGCGTTTTATTACTCATTAAAGCTGATGGTTATTCATTTTATTTACAGAGTATCAAATAAATTCATTCATTCATTGATTTTTATTCAGCTAAGTCCCTTATTTACACAGTGGAATGAACCGCTAACTATTCTGGCATATGTTTTACGCAGTGAGTTTATCGTATAAATGTTAGGTGATAATCTTGCTGCATGAGAGTTTGCATGTCACTTTGTAAAACAATAATCTGCTACATAAACATTAATTCAACATCAGAATCTCTTGTTGCTTTTTAAACAGAAACTCAAAGCTAGAGCATGTCTCGAAGTCTCTCCATACTAAACTGCATCTTATTCTTCATTATTACAGATGATTATTCGTCTCATTTACAGAGTATGGAATAAAATTATTCATTGATTTTCATTCCGTTTAGTACCTTTTTAATCAGGGGTCGCCACAGCGGAATGAATCGCCAACTATTCCGGCGTTTTACGCAGCGGGTTTATCAAATAAATGTTAAGTGATAATCTTGCTGCACGAATCAACTCTCTCACTCTCTGTCTGTGTCTCTTTTTCTCTAATTCATAACCATTATGATTCCATAACAGTGCTGCATCTCACAGATGTAGACAAAACCCACCTCTTACTATCACAAAATGTCTTCCATTGTGTTTCCAATTTGCTTGTCACTTTGTAAAAAAGATAATCTGCTAAACAAACATCATTAATTTAACATCAGAATCACTTATATTGTTGCTTTTGAGCAAACAAATCAAAGCTAGAGCATTTCTCTAAGTTTCTCCATGCTAACTTGCATCTTATTACACATCACAGATGATTATTCATCTCGTTTACAGAGTGTTGAAAAAATTCATTCATTCATTGATTTTTATTCAGCTTAGTCTCTTATTTATCAGGGGTCGCCACAGCGGAATGAACCATCAATTATTCTGGCATATGTTTTACGCAGCAGATTTATCTAAAAAATGTCAAGTGATAATCTTGCTGGATGAGTCAACTCTCTCTTTCTCTCTGGGTTCATAAATCATAACCATTATGATTCCATAACAGTGCTGCATCTCACAGATGTAGACAAAACCCCCATCTTACCATTGCAAAATGTCTTCCATTGTGTTTCCTATTTGCATGTCACTTTGTAAAAAAGATAATCTGCTAAACAAACATTAATTTAACATCAGAATCACTTTTATTGTTCTTTTTGAGCAAAAAAAATAAAAAATCTAAGCTTGAGCATGTCTCGAAGTCTCTCCATGCTAACTTGCATCTTATTACACATCACAGATGATTATTCATCTCGTTTACAGAGTGTTGAAAAAATTCATTCATTCATTGATTTTTATTCAGCTTAGTTCCTTTTTTATCAGGGGTCGCCACAGCGGAATGAACCACCAATTAATCTGGCAAATGTTTTACGCAGCGGATTTATCTAAAAAATGTCAAGTGATAATCTTGCTGGATGAGTCAACTCTCTCTTTCTCTCTGGGTTCATAATTCATAACCATTATGATTCCATAACAGTGCTGCATCTCACAGATGTAGACAAAACCCACATCCTTACTCTCATAAAATGTCTTCCACTGTGTTTCCTATATGTAAGTCACTTTTTAAAACAAAAATCTGCTAAATAACCATTAGTTTATCATCAGAATCACTTTTATTGTTGCTTTTTGAGCAAGAATTCAAAACTAGAGCATGCCTCGAAGTCTCTCCATAGTAAATTGAATCTTATTATTCATCACAAATGATTATTTGTCTCATTTACAGAGTATTGAAAAGATTCATTTATTTATTGATTTTGATTCAGCTAAGTTCCTTGTTTATCAGGGGTCACCACAGCGGAATGAACCGCCAGCTATTGTGGCATATGTTCTACGCAACGGATTTGTTGAATAAATGTTAAGTCATAATCTTGCTGCATGAGTCAATTCTCTCTCTCTCTCTCTCTCTCTCTCTCTCTCGCTGTCCCTTTCTCTTTCTCTCTTGGGTCATAATTCATAATCATATGATCCATAGAAGTGCTGCATTTCACAGATGTAGACCCACACCTTACTATCACAAAATGACTTCCATTGTGTTTCCTATGTGCATGTCACTTTGTAAAAAAGATAATCTGCTAAACAAACATTAATTTAACATCAGAATCACTTTTATTGTTCTTTTTGAGCAAAAAAAATAAAAAATCTAAGCTTGAGCATGTCTCGAAGTCTCTCCATGCTAACTTGCATCTTATTACACATCACAGATGATTATTCATCTCGTTTACAGAGTGTTGAAAAAATTCATTCATTCATTGATTTTTATTCAGCTTAGTTCCTTTTTTATCAGGGGTCGCCACAGCGGAATGAACCACCAATTAATCTGGCAAATGTTTTACGCAGCGGATTTATCTAAAAAATGTCAAGTGATAATCTTGCTGGATGAGTCAACTCTCTCTTTCTCTCTGGGTTCATAATTCATAACCATTATGATTCCATAACAGTGCTGCATCTCACAGATGTAGACAAAACCCCCATCCTTACTCTCATAAAATGTCTTCCACTGTGTTTCCTATATGTAAGTCACTTTTTAAAACAAAAATCTGCTAAATAACCATTAGTTTATCATCAGAATCACTTTTATTGTTGCTTTTTGAGCAAGAATTCAAAACTAGAGCATGCCTCGAAGTCTCTCCATAGTAAATTGAATCTTATTATTCATCACAAATGATTATTTGTCTCATTTACAGAGTATTGAAAAGATTCATTTATTTATTGATTTTGATTCAGCTAAGTTCCTTGTTTATCAGGGGTCACCACAGCGGAATGAACCGCCAGCTATTGTGGCATATGTTCTACGCAACGGATTTGTTGAATAAATGTTAAGTCATAATCTTGCTGCATGAGTCAATTCTCTCTCTCTCTCTCTCTCTCTCTCTCTCTCGCTGTCCCTTTCTCTTTCTCTCTTGGGTCATAATTCATAATCATATGATCCATAGAAGTGCTGCATTTCACAGATGTAGACCCACACCTTACTATCACAAAATGACTTCCATTGTGTTTCCTATGTGCATGTCACTTTGTAAAAAAGATAATCTGCTAAACAAACATTAATTTAACATCAGAATCACTTGTATTGTTGATTTAAACAGGAATCAAAGCTGAATTATGAGTCTCACCATCATCCATTGCGTTTTACCACTCATCACTAATAATTATTCATCTCATTTACAGATTATCTGATGTTGAGTGTTCATCTGGAAGGCTGGAGATACTGTACATTGAGTTCCACACCCGCACGCAGCGTTCCAATAACCAATCGCTATCAAGTAGGCGCGTCTTCGCGTTCACGCGGCCAATGATTGCACAGCGGGCGTGTCTTCGGACCGGCGTTGTAAACAGTGTAAAGCAGGAGACTGGAGGTGTGTATAAATATCAGTGTGTCGCGCGGGCTGTCTTATGAACTCGTGCCGCGCACCAGCAGCCTGCAGTCCGCACTGTTTCCGTGGAGCTGACGGCGACCTGCTCACGCCACAGGTTGGTCTGCACTTCAGGAGCTTTATCATTGTGGATTTCTGATTCATCTTTTGATTTTTGTTTGGAATGATGTCACTGTTGGCTGTACTTGAGTGACTTGCGGATTTTGAAGCTCAAGGTGCGTCTCTTCTCATGCGTTGCGCGCTCGCGTGCGTGTTTCGTGGCATTCCTTTTCTGCCATGTCGCGTTTTAAAGGGCTTTAAAGGCATGAGACTGAGCGGAGATGGCGTTTCCAGTTCTGTGAGTTTGCGAGTGTTTGTGGCAACATGTTTTTACCGGCGCAAGTTCAGACATAAAAGAGCGATCACGGATTGTGCCGCGCGCATCCTTTCACCTGAGCGTGCGCGGGCGCGCTATCAGCACCTCATCGATTTCAGTTTCATCTGATTAGTACGTTATGAAATAATAACCGTGAGGCGTTTAATGTGTTATGACAACACGTATAATGTTGAATAGTCAGTCATGTAAGTGTCGTGTTGTTTAAAGAAGTGTTATGTACTATTTGTTGTACAGTATGGTCGTATTTTGAGCTACACTGCCAGTACTATGGTGTTTCCAATAGACAATATTGTGTAAAAAGGACACCTACGCTTTCATACTGTAACATAATGACACAAAATGCGCTGTAGTAGCTTTTTTTGTAGGTGTATAATATACATAGCGTCATATTGTATTATCTAACAACGTGTTTTGGTTGTGAAATGTAACGTACTACTTCATTAAGTGTGATTGCATTGTACAGTGTGCTGTTGAATGAGGGTTGACAGTGCACTACGCTGCTTAATATTAGTAATATAGCACATTATGGGATCTGTTAGGCTACAGTGTAGTTTGAAATGTCATATACTTTCAATGCAAGCACCTGTCGACACCTGGAAAGTAGGAGCACTTGAAGGACGACAGTTGCCACCCATTTCATCATCATCTTGGAAATCAAGGTATGTGATGCTTTATTATTACTCTTGCATTGTGTGTGACAGTGTTTAAAATGTCATATTGTTTGCTAGAAAAGATCTTAAAATGCTTTGCTATCTGTTGGATATCAGCGTAGACAAGTTCCATACTGCTTATATTGTGAAAAACCTCCTTGTCTCCGCCTTTGTGGGCACTAGACGAATGGGGATGCCACCACAAGGCAAAAGTTCATGTGTGGAATCTGTTGCACGCATGCTATTCGGTGCCCAAACAATGCAGACTGGCAGCAAGTTGTTTTCGTGCATCTGTGAAATTACAGCCCCCCGTATGTGGTGCCCAGCAAGTGGGCAGTTGTTGTTGTTTTTTTTTTCTTCAAGCTCCATTCATCAGCCAGTAAATGGTGTGTGTAATTGTAGAGGGCAGATATTTCCCTGTCAGGCTATGCTGTGCGAGAAAATGGGAGTTTGTTTGTTTGTTTGCAGAATACTTGTTTGCAGAAATGTGCAGTATTAAAATATGTCAACATTTTGATGCGTAATTCAGACTTTTTGCACTTCAGAAATGCAGATAGAAAGTTAATTGAAGATGTAATTAAGAGTATACCCAACTTAAAGGGACAGTTCATCCAAAATAAATGAAATTTACTCACCCTCAGGTGGTTGTAAAACTTTTTAAGTTTTTTTTTTCTGCTGAATACAAAAGCAGATATTTTGAAGAAAGCTTAAAACCTGTAACCATTGACTTAATGTTTTGGAATATTATGGACATCAATGGTTACAGGTTTTCAGCTTTCTTCAAAATATATTCTGTGTTCGACAGAGCAAAGAAAGTCAAACAGGTTAAGCGTGATTAAATGTTGACAGAAATAATTTTTGGGGTGAACTATCCCTTTAAGTGTTCCATCATAGGGCTGGGCCAATAAATGATTCTCGAATTGCGATAACGTTTATGTCAATAACAATGATAAGCTCTGGGGTTTTCACTCTTGATCTAAGAGTCACTCACACAGCAGATATGTTCAACAATGGTAATCCAAAAGTGTGTTGATATTAGAGATGTACCGTGTTTTTGGCCACTGAAAATTTATTGGCTGAAAAAATGTCATGCCGTGACTTCAGTCATTGTTGGGGTACTTTTTTAAATCTGGAAGCATTTACAACTTACATCAAAATATATATTGTTATCATTTAATATGGACAATAGTTATTGAGATTGCATTTTTCCATATCATCCAGCCCTAATGTCAAACTATTAAATCTTGATGTGTAAATAACACTTTTTGCACTTCAAAAGTGCTTATAGAAAGTTAATTGAAGATTTAATTAAGAGTATGCCCAACTTAAAGGGATAGTGCACCCAAAAAATTATATTTACTCACCCCCATGTGTTTGTAAAATATTATAAGTTTCTTTATTCTGTTGAATACAAAAGAAGATATTTTGAGGAAAGCGTAAAATGTGTAACCATTGACTTCCATAATTATGATATACTATGGACATCAATGGTTACAGGTTTTCAACTTTCTTCAAAATATATTCTGTGTTCAACAGAGCAAAGAAAGTCGAACAGGTTTGGAACAAGTAAATGGAGATTAAAATGTTGACAGAATTCATTTTTTTGTGGTGAACTATCCCTTTAAGTGTTCCATGTAGAGCTGGGCGATGAATGATTTTATATCAAATCACTACATAACTATACATCACTATATTTGTCTAATGAGCCAATCAATCACACAGAAGAAATGTGCAACAATAGGAATATAAAAGTGTGTTGATATTGGAGATGTACCGAGTCCTCGATCACCGAAAATGAACAGACTGAAAATATGTTATTTAAATTTACCATTTAATGGACCCTCTAATTTTTGTGGCTTCAGTTTATGTTGGGGTACTCTTTTAAATCTGGAAGTATTAACAACTTACATTGAAATACATATTGTTATCATTTAATATGGACAATAATTATCGAGATTGCATTTTTGCCATATGACCCAGCCTAATTTCAAACTATTAAATCTTTTTGGGATAGTTTACCCCAAAAAATGAATATTTACTCACCCTCAGGTTGCTGTAAACCTTTATAAGTTTCTTTATTCCTTTGAATACAAAAGGAGATACTTTGAAGAAAGCTCAAAACCTGTAACTATTGACTTCATAGTTATGGGATACTACACTGTAGAAAATAAAAAGTTGAGTTGACTTAAAATTTTAAAGCAACCGGCTGCAAAGAAATTTGGAGTTTCTTAAGCTTCAGTGGTTGAAGTTGTGCCAGATTATTTTTTTAAGTTGACTGAAAAGGCTGGTTTAAGTCAATTATACTTTACTGAATAATTTGGCACAACTTCAAACCACCGAAGCTTAATAAACTCAAAATTTCTTTGCAGCCAGTTGCTTTAAAATTTTAAATCAACTCAACTTTTTATTTTTTTTACAGTAGTAAATGCTCAAGTGAAGAAATCAAAACTCAAAGTCTCCTCAACTGAGTTTTTTTTACTTTCATTGAACAAACAGTTCCAAACATGCAGTTAAATTGTTTTCATGAGTAAATTCAACTTTGAGATCCAAAATATGTCCACCTAACTTACAGTTTTAATCTGAGTTAACAATTTGTAAGCTGGATTTTTTACAGTGTATGTACGTCAATGGTTACAGATTTCCAGCTTTCTTCAAAATATATTCTGTCTCCAACAGGGAAAAGAAAGTCAAACGGGTCTGGAACAAGTAAAGGGTGATTAAATATTGGCAGAATTTCATTTTTGGGGTGAACTGTCTCTGTAGGTGGTCCATGAATGTGTCTGTGTATTGAGATATTTGATATGTTGATTTGAGGATGTTTGATACTTTCAAATTCAAGGCAAGGTTAGGTAGATTCGCTCTTGACATTGGCGGGGACATACATCCCTAGAGTGCATGCATTGTGCTTTTAAAAACATGAATAAAGGGCTTAATGATATAAAATAAACACTTACATGACATGTATTAGTACAAATATCAATAAATGAATCACGTTCCTTGCTGCAAAATCAATTTACAAGATTTTACTGCAATCTGGCTTTGAGGAGGTATGAATGTTGAGAAATTTAGAGAGTTTACTTTTTTGTCCCAATTGTTTGTTTTTCAAACTGAATTTTGATTAATTGCACAGCTTTGGTTAATAGTATTATAGTGAACTCATAGCAAACTTGACTTTAACCCTTTGTACACAAATAGGTTACTTAAGGTTGATGGAGCATTATTTTATTTTGAAGTCGATTTAAATATTGGTTGGGACATTTCAGTAACTGGTGGATATTGGTGGGGACACGTCTCCTCCATCCATGCCAATTCTACGCCCTTAATTCAAGGTTTGATAGCTCTGAACTAAAGCAGTTAGATTTGCTTGAAGAACATTTGAGAGAAGCTTGCCCGAACATTAGACCACATTTTAAGTTGAGCATTCATAAGCATATTTTGTCTTTTTAGAAGCAGTAAATAAAACAAAGTTTGGTGAAATATGCTTTATTGTGAACCTACACTGGTCTCACTGTTCGACTGTATCGATTATTATGCCATCGATTCGGTTCAATTCGATATCTCGGTGCATAACAGTGCATTGACGATGTTTTCCATACATAATTAGATTTTTTTTTTCAATTAAAATCTATAAATATTCTATCTTCTATCAAGACAAGTCTTCAAATTTGGCCATGGTGGACAGGGGTCTGATTCATTTTTATATCGTCCCCCTGTATCTTCATCATTGAAGTTGAGATATAAACTACTGTATGCTATTCTTTAACCCTGTGAATGAGTTACCGTTAAATCTTCACCATTATCTTTATAGTTACTGTATTTGGTGAGAATTCGCCTAAATTCTCATGACGCTATACACTGTTGAGGTTTTCACGCCGATCTGCCTGTGCTTGAACTTGCGCTCATACATTTCGCCGTTTTACCGAGAGCTTTCACCTAGTTGTAACTCGTGCATTGTGGGCAGGGGTCTGGCTATTTTGGGCTCTTCATTAAACACCTATGAGATGCAATGTCTGGCTTCAGGCTGACCTAGTTGAAGACAGGTGGAGGCGGACAGATGTCCTGTTGCACACC